CGGGGGACTTCCTGCAAGCAGCTCCCGCGCAGGGGCGCGGAGCGGTTGGCGGGCCGGGCCGGAGGGAAGCCGAGCCGAGGCAGCCGGGCGAGGGGCAGGTGGCGGCGGCGGCGTCCTGTGCGGCGGGAGCGCCGCTGCGGGGGCTGCGCAAAGCGGGGCGGCGGGAGGCGGGACCGGCGCGGGGCGATCGAGCCGCGTACTTGCCGAGCTCCTCGTACAGCTGGTACTCGTCGGTGAAGCGGGTGCACGTCGCCGGGGTGGCCATGGCCGGGCGGCGGAGGCGCGAGTGCTCGCGGCGGACGAGGCTGGCGCGTCGGCTCGCTCAGCGCCGGCGCCGGGACATCGGAGTGGCGGGGTGCGAGGCGGAGCCGGGCCGGGCCGGGCGGGCCGGGCAACTCCTGCGGGCAGCGCCGCGCTCCCTGCCGCCGCGGCCTCCGCCTCCTGCCCGAGCGGGAGCTGGCGCGCCTCTCCGCCGCCGCGCCGCGCACAGTCACCGCTCCCAGCAGGCGGAGGAGGAGGCGGCGTCTGAGGCCGCGCGCCCAGCACCGCGAGATCTTCCTCGGGAGGGCGCCCGCCCGCCCGCCTGCCTAGGTGTGGCCGGAGGAGGCGCCGGGGGCGCGGCGCTCCCGCGAGGCAGCGAGGCGGGGCCCGGGGCGTCGCCTCCCGGCGTGCGGTGCCTCCTCTCGCGGCCGGCCGGCCGGCGCGGCGGAAGCCTCCCGGCCGCGCCCGCAGGCGCCGGGGCCTCGCGCTTCTCGTCCCCGGAGGACTCGGGGCGGCGGCGGCTCGCTGGCGGCTGGCGGCGCCCTGGCCGCGGACGGGCAGCCGCGAGAGGAGGGAGGTGGTTCGCGGGCGCTGCCGCCCCGTTGGGCCGCCGCGGTTTGCAGACGGAGAGTGGAGCCGCTGCCCGCGCCGGAGGGCGCTGCCGCTTCCCCTCGGCAGATCGCGCGGGAGCAGCTCCGCGTCTGAGCCGCAGAGAGGCCGCGCCTGCCCGCCCGTCCGCCCGGGGCTTCGTGCGCGGAGGGAGCGGCCCGGCCCGGCCCGCGGCGGCCTCAGTCGGAGGCGCCCCGCGAGCTGCGCGGGCGGCGGCTGCTCCATCGCCGGTCGCCCTTGGCGGCGCCGGGCCTGCGCGCGGGGAAACGCGCCCCCGGGGCAGCCCGGCAGCTCTGCGGCAGGCGCGGGAGACGCTGGCGCACTTCGTGGAAGCCCTGCCCTGCCGCAGAGGAAGCCTTCGGCGGGCGCCCCCGACCCTGCGCCCCCCGCAAATGCGGCGGAGCGGGCCGAGAGCGAGCCCGTGCCAAGGGCGGCAGCGCAGCCGGCGGGGGGCCTGCGCGGAGCGCCCTTCGGCAGCCGGGCCCGGACGCGGCCGGCCTGGCTTCGCGCCCGCTTCCCGTCCCTCTGCAAAGCAGCCCCGCGAGGTAGGCCAGGCTGAAGGACAGCCGCGCCC